CCAAATAGGTTTCAAAGAGCACAAGCTATGTTTAAATATCACTTTAGTTTTTTAAAAATAGCAATGTTAATTTATTTGATGGACCTTCTTTTTTCAGGGTAGAGCCGTACTACAGAATGACCGTCTATTGTGCAGGGGCAGCTAACGGTGGATACGACGGTTGGAAGTTTCTGTGGGAACTGTATAAACGAGAGACTCAGCCCGTCGAAAGCATTAGCCTCTTGTACGGAATCTGCTGCACTCGAATTCCGTCACTGATTAGCAAGTTTGTCCAAGCTGGCAGTATTGTGGACATGGAGACCTGTGCATTTACGACTTCTTTAGGATAATGGAGCAATCGATAACGGACAAACCGTTCATTCGAAGGCAAGATGTCGGCAACGTCTTTGCTTACCTGCAGAGCAATGCGATAGCCTCGAAAATGGCATGGGATTTCTTTGTCACCAATATTAAGGAGATCCTGAGACGGTGCAACTGATCTTTCATAATCTACTTATTAATAACTGTGCTATTACTAGACACGGAAATAACTTTGGGAACATGAAACAGATCATTCAGTCCGCGACAATGACCTTCAATACACCATACCAAGTACAACTGGTAAGTTTTTTCTGAAAGTAACTTGTGCCAGTTTTTCTTGCCATTTACCGCTAACTGTCCCCGCCTAAATAACAGGCTGGCTTATGGTTGAATACTATATTGATTAAAACACTATGCGTCACAAAATCCCATTTTATTTTTTAAAATACTAGTTTTTACAGGACCATGGTAATTTGTTTTCGTTAAATTTTTGGGACTGGCTTAAGAAGCAGTTAACCATTTCAGTTAGTACAAGAGCTTAAGGTTTCAAAATGGCTTAAGGCTGATAGATCGATTAAAGTTTTAATCGAATCTCTTATGCGTTATATGTCGCATATTCCTACATTGGACCAAGTTGTGACAGAGTTGTCAATACTCTTGTCTACAAACCAGAGGGTAGCTGCGAGTGAACCTGGCCCCAGTTATTAAAGTATTTCATGCGCATTATAGAGACAGACCTTGATTTATGTAAATGAAGACATGGCACAAATTATCCTGAAAGGGCAACTGAAAAAATTGAATTTATGAAGGTTTTACTTGGCGCACGCTTTGCTCACATGTCACCTAACAACGATCTTCATCAAGGCGGGCAGCCCTCGCGGTGCATGTCTGCGTCTTCTTCGGTGGCGGTTTGTATACTAATAAACACAGACATGTTGTATACTTGTAATTATAGAATATTAATATTTAATACTTGCTTGCTCTGTAGCAGAGCAAAGTCAAGACTGAAATAATAACAGAAGAGGAAGATGCAAACCGATGAATAGACATGCGTAATTGATCTAGCGATGGAAATGAAAATTAAAAAGAAATATGAAGACTGACAAAACTCAACGGCCATTGGACGTGATCCTGGTCTCGTACCATCAGCAATGAATAAAATTCTGAAGGATTGTGCCAGTTAAAGGAACATGGGGAAGCGTCTGCCTTCTTAAAATCAACAGTGATTTCAAAAACAGCGTTCTAGTGCTATTTATGATGGGAAAAATTAATT